GAGTGTTACAGCTGGCCCTATCCTCGGTTTAATCTGCGTGTGTCTGCGTTGGCTTCCTCCTCAGAGGTGTTTGCAGAGGTCCTGTGCAGCGGAGACTATTCTCGCTGTCTCGCAGAACTGGAGGAGGTGCCTTTGTCATCTCTCTGGCCTGGAAGCAGAACCCTAAGGGCCCTGGCATCCCTCCTCACTGCAGAGGACCCTCAGGTCAACAAGGCAGCCGCCGACTACCTCTCTTCTGGAGCGTCAAACAAGCACTTCAGGACCAGGGTGAGTAATGCTCAAGAGAAAACTGTAGGCGCACCATTTCTGCCTTTTGAGCCACATTTTTAATGGTTGTTTGTGTGTCTGCAGGCAGTGGAGTGCTACACCCAGGCACTGTCGGAGGCTGGAGTACAGAGTCAGAGGGCAGCCTGCTCAGCTCTCAGCTGTCTGGAGGTCAGTAGTTGTTTACTAAACTGTGCAAACAGCAGTTTTATGCAATAAAGAGAAACATGTCCTTTGGATTTTTACATTTTTGTCTTGTTTGTGTGCGCAGGCAGTCGAGAGCATCAGAGCAGTGGTAGCGCTGTGCGATTCAGCCGACGAAGAGCTGCGTCACGTGGCCATAGAAACCCTGCTCACGTTCGGTGCGTAACAAATCCACTGCATTTTATACACAACTGCCATGAGGTCATTTGCACACTATAGTGCTATTAAGATGTGTTTAATTGCAGTGTTGACTGTAAATTCCAAGAAAAACACGTTTTCTCTTGCTTGTTTTCTGGGGCAGATGTTTGAGCTTCAACACTTTCTCTGCAGACGCTTTAAAATCTTACATTGAAGGCAACTTTTCTCAAACGCCGAGGGTTTTAACTCAGCATGCAGACTCTTATATTTTCTTTTGTCAATTTGTTACGTCCTTCCGTTGCCTTCTTTCTGCCATAATCTTGATTGTGGGGAAACGAATGCTGCCATCTGAGAAGTAGGTGGTCATTACTAACAGAAGCTACTTTTAGCTGCTCCTTCACCACAAGAGATCGCCTCAGCAGGCAACGCTGCACGTTTGGTTTGGCAAAGCCCTTCCTGACGCAAATTCAAACCAGCGACCTTTCATTTGCCAAGTGATTTATTCTCACTAATATTTTTAGAAGATTCTGTTGCTCCTTCTGGCCTTCGTCCAAAGTTTCATTCTTAACCCTTGTCAACCAGTTTTACCCGATTCCCAGCAAAATATGCTGGCATCTTGCTGGAGACACCAGTAAGTTCAGCGCCGAGTTTGATGCCATTTCAGTGAACATTGTGTGAAACAGTCTTTGTGAAAGTTAGACAATCTGTGACAGTCCCACACACACTTAGTGAATGTATCTGTAAAACTGTCCTCTCTGCAAAACATTCACTTTTTAACTAACTGCGCATGAGGCGTTTGTGTACCATCAGTAAATTGTAGCTTTTCCCCGTTCTCCCCTTCAGTAGTTACGTGAAAGGTGACTATGGACACATTATTTCTAATAATCTCTTTTTGCTGCTTGCAGGTGAGGAGGGGCGCCTGGCGTACGAGCAGCTGGACACTGTGCCGGGGGAGATGATCCGTCTGGGCACACGGCGAGGAAACACCGTCACCACTGCCTTCTGAGCCATCACTGAAAAGATAAAAGGACTGCACCCGGACCTCCGAGGACAGCACTTGCCTCCTTAGCTCAACCCACACAGCACACCTCACAGGGCCGTTAACGACTAATCTGTTCATCGATCTGCTTTCTAGCAACAACAAACGTTTTCACTTAAACTGCAGTTAATCACTGTTACTCACTGCCTCCTGAAAGGAAGTAACACCAAACAAGTTGTCTTAACCACAAGGACACACAACCTAGACCCCTCCTGACGCACGCTTACACTCCTCCTCCTCACCCTGCTGTCTGAGCCAGGCACACACCGGTCACGTTAAGTTGAATTGAAAAGCACAAATTTTGACTGGACACAAAGCGGCTGAGAGCTGCTCCAAAGACTGTGGAAATCAAGCAGCGGGTCTTCACCCTCCTGTCAAAAAGGCTTCCGAGAACACCCGTCTCACGCACTCTCTGAATAATCTCAAGTTTTACAGATTTATTGTACCACGCAATATACTATGATCTTTGTATAATCACTGTTAACATGCGTTCACCTAGATTAGAAGTGCTTTCTGACGCGTTCGGAAGACCTGCACTGTTGTAAGGCGTGTAAATACGGCTTAGTTTACACGTGATACACGTGGTTGTGTTTAAGACGTAATTTTCAGGGATCCTCGTGTGGTTGAAAGACCTGTGTGTTTTTTTTGCAGGGAGGAACATTAATAAGATGAGGTCACAGCGGTCCAGGGGAGACGGGGGTTTAGCACAGTGCCCAGTGTTCACTCACGCAGCAGTTTGCGTCTGAGATTTCTCCTACTTGCAGTTTAACAAGTGCAATTTTTTCTGTACATATGTGATTTTTTTTTCTTTTTTTTTTTGCACCTGGCTGACACGTGAAGCCCATTTGATGTCGTCAGCTTTTGACCTTTTGAGCCTCGTTGGGGCTGAGCTGGCACATTACACAAATACTCTTTGTAAATGTATGTTTTGTTTGTTTTTCCTACAAGGTCAGGAGCCAGTCGAGGGCAATAAACTAGGCAGAGGACCTCATGAAAATGCACTTTCTTGGCAGTTGTGCAGAGAGGATCAGTTGAGGCAGCACGCGAGCTGATAGCAGGATAAGACATTAAGCTTTTGGCCTTTTCTGCCACACTTTGGGTCTGCTCCATGCGAACGGTTTAATGGGAACACTGACCCAGGGGAGGCATCTATCTCCAGCTTTTCTCATTGTAACTGTACTACTGAGTCTGGTGCTGCTGCACAGTGACAAAACTTAGAAGCTCACACATCATATATTTATTATTTACTCCTTGTTATTCTAATATTCTGTCAAGTTATTTTGTATTAGAGCAGACCACATTGTTATGTAAATGATTGTATATTTATGCTCTACTTTCAGGTCTGGTATTTGAATTAATGTCTTTTGTTTAAAAAGGCCTCTGTGTTTTTACCATACGACTCGTGTTTGATTATAATTGGAGTTTATTTTCAATTTAATTATATTAGATTGTTATTTTGGAGAATATTAAGATTTGCTAATAGTAATTATAGATTTTGTTTTCCCTAAAAGGTCCCCAAACTAACGGGGCATTTATATGATAGAGATGTTACTTTATTAAGTAGATTTACTATAACCAAAGGAAAAATCTTGGGATTTTAAAACGGTCTTTTAATAAGAGCTCATCCAGGAGAATGTATTTTCAATACAGCGTGTACATTTGGACCAGAACCCTCAGACTTATCTTTGGAAGCACAAAAAGGAAAAAAAGGCAAACCCGTAATATGAGGATCTCGTTACATCTGGTTGTAACTGCACAATCCAAAAGCCATATTAAAAAGCAAGCGGTTAGTATTTTTATGAAAGGTATTCTTTTTGTAATATAATCTGTAAATGCGTGAAGTTGATACTAAAAGTTGTTTCTTTTTTACTTTCATGCAGCCTTTTGCAAAACGTGGTCCAAATTTAAATTCCTTTTCGAGATGTGAACAGCATTACAGTATTTTGGTCCAGTAACTCACTCTGTGTCTAATTTTCTCTCTTCACAAACTCGCTGTTGACCTGTTTAACAAGTTAATTGGTGGACTGTTCAGTTCCTTAGCACCGTATATAATACAAGGTGGCGAAATGTGCACGTTTAATTTAGAGGTTTTAATAATAACTGCTGAAACTGAACTTCATCCATCTTCTTGGTCAATAGCTTCAGTACTGATTCATGTGGTTGCACACTGCTCTTCTCCGTCGTGGTTCCTCTGCTCATTAAGAAGTTGCAATAAAGTTTATTTTTGCATAATTAAAAACTGGATTTCTCTTTCCCCACACGGAGTCCATCCATTCTCTTCTGCTTATCCTTGTCAGGGTCGTGAGGGGGCTGGAGCCCATTCAGTCTTAAATAGAATGTTTTGTTTTTTTAAGTCCTACTGCTGTTTTAAATTAATACTAATGAGTATATGCAAATCCATACGTAATCTGACTGTTACAACTACACAGCAGCTAGATTTTATACGGAAAAGTGGGCATACAAGCTTAACACACCACAAAAAAAAAAAAAAAGTTTTAGTTGAGTGTAGATTTGACCATTTTATGCTGTTAAGACATGACACCCCATATGGAAAAGATATAAAAATCTTATAAAGTTTGTATCTGTCTTGTGTGAAACTTGTATGAAAAGCATGAGTGAAAACGGATAAGATCCCTTGAAAAATTATAATGAAACTTGTATGTTTTGGATACTTACTAAAACAATAAGTAATGAGAACGTGGCCACTTTCATGAGTAATCACATAAGTTTGCCATTTCTTTTCCATATGGGACAGCCTAAGCCAGCGATGTCAAACTCATTTTACATTGTGAGCCACATACAGCATACTCTGATCCTAAATGGGCCGGAGCACCAGTGCAAGTCAGTTTTTCCTTCCATAGCACAGTAACAAAGACATCTCTAGTTGAGGTCATTTGTGTGTCACTTTGCTGTAGTATGACAGGCTATCGAGGTGGTCTTTCAGTGAGAAAAGCTGCAACGCTTCTCAAAATACAGATAAAAGTTCAAGAGTTATCCCAACACCACCAAGTGGACCGATTGGAGTCTTTGGCAGAGCCAAGTCTTACCCCTGGGCATATGTTTGAAACCCCCTGGTCTAAGCTTATCCTCAAACAAGCTTAGGGTATACTGCAAACACTGCAGCATAAAGGTTGCACAAACGCTCTTGCCAAATTAGCAGCACATTCGAGTGTTCTTACTTCAAGTCTACTCTGCGAGTGAATGATACCTTTAAACCGACAAAACAAATATTACATTTCACATCAGTGTGAGGAGAGCAGAAACCCCCCCCCCCAGCATACCCATTTACAATTTTCTCATTTCCGTAGCAACTTCACCCTTTAGGTTCAGCAAGAACTACAAGCTTCAATAAGTGTCAAGATTTAAAATATAAAGTTTATTTACACCAACTTCAAAATTTTACAGTGAGGCAACATTTCAGGGCCATGCTCTTTGCCACATCTGGCAGTAAATAACTGACCAACAGTGCACATTTAACTTATCACAACAGGGAAAAACAGGTGTTCAAGTAAAATTTGTAAACACTGTTGCTCAACAGGAGCCACAAGACAAATCAAGTGCCAAAAGAAGCACGTTGGACAAGCATTTTAGTTTCACCTGGCCAAGGTAAACTTCTTTTAGACTAATGGTTGTGGACACCCTGACATGGAAGTCTTTCAGGTGCCAGCAGCTTAGTTCACATCTGTACTTGTCTTACTATGACACATCAAGGGGTCGTCTGTTAAAGGAAACCTTCACTGGCTTAGTTTCTTAAGACCCTTAAAAACTTGAGAAAGCAATGATGAAAAATATATTTTAAAAAAAAATTGCAGGCTGAATTTAGAGTACATGCACATCTTTAAAGCTCATCTCCTTCAAACGAAGTACTCGTTGCAGTCAAAGCTTACTCAGGTCAAAATGTCAAAGTCATGCAGTATTAGTTCTGGAGTCCTGAGGGTCCTGGTTCTTCATCATCCGATAGCTCTTCTGCAGAGCCGTAACTGTAGTGTGGATCGTTTTCACTCTGATCTGCCAAGTCGTCGCCTTCATGTTCAGCCTCATCTTCATCAAAGGCAATCCCTCTGAGCTCATCCAGATTGTCAGGAGATTTCCCAGTCAGTCTCTAAAAAGAGAGTACACCAAGTTTAATTTACCAACAGACCCATCTGTGCAGTCCTGTCCAGTTTATCCATGCAGCTCTCCACCTGGTTAAGTACTCTGCTCAGGGAATTTGGGTTTAGCTCAAAAGGCTGAAATTTTTACCACCAAGTTACTACTTTGTGCCCACTGATTAAACAGAATGAGAGTCCAAAATTGTAATTGCAATGCTGCAGCAAGTAGCCAGATTTGTAAAACTTGATCAGACGCATATCGTGTTAAGATTTAATTATGCAAAGCATCTCTAGACAGGATGGGCAGTTTATTTTCCCCGAGTGGAAAAAAGAAGACACTGAAACCGTTGAGGCTGCACCAATAAACTGAACTCCAATCTGTTTAAAGTTTGTTTAGCCATACATTTTAAGCTTCCTGGTGCATCCCTCCAGTTCCACTTTCTCAAAACTGTCCACAGTAATGTTGATACACAACTGATAACATTAACAGATATAGTTTTTCGCCACAACTCAATGTGCAGTCAAATTTTAATACTTACCTCAATCATGTCAGCCATGTACTGGACATGTTGAGCGAGCTCCTGCAGCTCTTCATTTTCACTCTGAAGCTTCGTTAGCTGCTCATCTCTGGCCTCTATGCTTTTGTGGAGCTGAAACAACAAATGCAAACACCAAGTTAAGACAACCTCCTACACATGGGAGGTCTAAACCAGAAAACTGCTTCACGTTAATACACTGTACAGGCAATCTAGCCAAACAATTTAGGAGTTACAGAAATTGTGAAGTAGTGAATGCAGAAAAATGCCAGCATCAGCACCTTTTATATAGAGGAGAATTCAGTGAGCTTCAGAGCTACTCAAGTGCCAGCTGGTCAGTAGCCAAAGGTCAAGCGTGTCAGTGGGAGCGTGGGAACAGCTCAGTTTGCAGCTAAACATTAGCAGAATCTCAGTGATTAACTCACCTTCTCATTCTCCTGTAGAACATTGTACAGTGCTTTCCGTCGCTCCTCTGCTACCTCTTTCCAGTAGGTGGAAGGTGGAGTTTCTACAACAGCAGCAGAGGGTTTAGATCAGAATTTGAGATAAAGTGAAAATTTGTGACCATCTAGCGCACCGTGCTGCCTTCTCTACCTTTGACCATGAGCTCATATGCTTCTTTGGACATGCCATCTATTAACCCATCAGCTGCTTCTGTTTGAGTGGATTTGACTTCCATCTTGACCCTCTTTGATCCTCTGATTTGCTCAGCCGTCCAATTCTTCCGCTTTGGACCAACCTTTCCGGCCTAAAAAACAAATCATTTCCAAAATTTAGGCTTGAAAGATGCAATTTTCATGAGTGATTCAACATCTACAAGTCTTAATCTTATGCAAGCCAATTTGGACAGCTACTACAAACCTTAGCTGACCTCCCCAGGTCTGAGTTAACCTGACGAACTTGCAGGGTTTGCCTGGCAGGTCCCATAGTCTTTTGAGAAGGTGTGAGAAGGCTCTGAAAGGCATCCAACACAAGTAACCGTTACTGTATATCTGATTAGATTACAACATGCTAACAAAACAGAAGGTAGACTCCCCCTCCCCCTGATTAGCCTTTAGAAACTAAAGATTGAGTCACATGGGAAAGTAGCAGAACCCATGTTCTCATTCTCAAAGCTTCTATTCAGCAAGGATTAGCATCACTTCACAAGCTTTACTTTAGTTACACTGTCACCAGGAGAAAGGGCATAAGTGAGGTGCCAGCACAGCAATGCCATGTGCAACAGACCTACAGGTGTGCAAAGCGCGGGTAGGGCACAAATTCTTAACAGCCGTGGGAAAGTCTCTCCAATGATCATTACAGAGCAGCCAGAAAACATAATTTGTTAATGTTTGGCCACAGCTTCACAAGACTGCTGGGGTGTTTTGTATAATGGGTGATTAAGTTGTGAGTGGGCCTTTTCCTTAAGGAACAGCAAAGTAGAAACCAAAACAAATGTAATTTTGTTTAAGTGTAAGCAATAAGACAGAGCTGCTCAGCAATATGATGAATTTAAATACCACTTTACAGGAAATACCACATTTAAGTGTCTTTCCACACAACCCAACCCTGAAGTGTCCTTTAGGACTGACCTTCAAGCCACTTACAGTAGATGGCTTTGTTCTGTTGAGACTACATGTCCAGAGACTGCTGCAGCTGGATTATACATGTTAATATAAAAGAATTAAGATAACAATAAATGGAAGAGGCAATCTTGGCCTTCTATATTTACATGGAAGTTTTTGGTTTTGGAGTTTAAATAAAAATACTGACCCTCACCCGAAAAAAATAATTTCATGAGAATCTCTCTAAAATGATACCAGTCACCCAAGAAAGGTAGTATAGGAGATATTTGAGCACTACTAGGGAAATAATTACCACCAATGTTTACACTTGAAAGACAAAATGACGAAACAACTTAAAAGTCTTTGTACTTACCTTTATGTTCTCATTGGACTTCTGGTGGCCCTGCTTTACTTTTCCACTGACGTTCATTTTTTTTCTCGAAACCTGAGCCAGGACAAGTAGTAGACAAAGAAAGCTTGATTTTTAATTAGCAAAAATTATATTTAAAAAAAAAATTAAACCTCTAGCTGTCTAGCTTACCATTGACTAGTGATTCTACCCACTTAGAAACGCTACTCTATAAGGAAAGGATCATATGGTCTAAGTTTCCTCACTTTTAAAATAAGCCATGGTAAGAAGGCCTCGAGTCAGCTGGATCTTAAGGAAAAACAATCAGCCACGTTTAAAGAAGGCAAATTAGCCGACGTGAACGATACTTAATATGATATAACTGTAGATAAAAAAAAATAAATTAATTAAAAACATTACCAGAACTTACCCTGCCTGCTTTTTCTTAACCTCGGTTTCCCGTTCGCTCGACTCTTCTCCGATACTCCCGCGCCAGAGGCTTAAATACGCCCACTCCGTCACGTGAGCAAGAGGCCAGTGAGGCGCATGCTCACAAAGAATTATTTTTTTTGCACCGTTGTTTTTTTCCCCTCGTGCGGTCACATGTCAAGGCACGTCATATCTTTGTAGTTGACTGTGCAGCCATTTTGGGGGAGGCTGTAGACCGTCTAGCTTGTATGTGCCATTATTAGCTACCTAAAAAAAACACGCAAACAAAGAAACCAAACGGAAAAAACGTTGGACGACACGTCGTTAAATATGGGCCCGCCGGGAGACAGAAAACTCCACATGTCGACTGAAAGAACGGAGGACTTGAGCTGGATTGTCGATTTATCTTGACATGGCATGCGGCAGGGCGAGCCGGAGGTTGTGACGACTGAAGAAAAGGAGAGAAAGAAAACAAGCGCAGCAAACACCTTGAAACTTCAGACGTGGAAAGCGGGGGGTTGATTTTTTTTGTTTAGCTAACAATTATTTCGCCATTCAACTGCTGTCGTTGATTGGCTATAATTGATTCCCCTGGGCTGATTCTGTTTTTTGTCGATGAAGTAGTTAACAAGGCACGACTGAAGCGCATTACATTTAGCGAAAATGGTGTAAACGGTTAGTGAGTGAAGCCCGCTGGTTTCTTAGCCTCAAACAGCACTGGCAGTCACATTGAGCCGAGGAGGTGGGGGAAATGTAAACGCGTTTAAAGATGACTGTACGCTAAGCTAGGTGATCACACTTAGGCCTCAATTAAGCCAATCAGTCAGATGATAAGATGTAGCTATATCGCTGGCTCACTACTAGTTAGTGTCGGAAGTGAATGCCTAGATTAGCCTGCTAGCTCACCTTAGCTAGTGTGCTAAAAATACGCCCACATCATGACTATCGGCAGTGGCAGCAACGACACAGGCTCTGGGCCAAATGAGTGGCAGTAAAAGTCACGGAAATGTCAAGTTACTTTCGCAGTAGTCTTCGATGTTACCCGGTGCCAATATCTCCTGGCATCTGTGTTTACCTGCCATCTTCGTCTGTATCCCCAGTCCGTCTATAACACGCACATAACAGTGTCTGCACGGAAGCAAAAAGACAGCCATGGATGAGGGACTTTGAAATGACCCAAACGATAGAATATTTGTCTGCTTGCTGTAGTCCACAATCTCAATTGCAGAAAACTAGCGATATGGGTTTTTGCAGCAGCGCTTTCTGCTGATTTCAGTACCATCTATAGGAGGGAAAAGTTGAGTCATTTGAGTTGCTGTTTTAATTTAAATCTTTGTTGTAATCCCTCCATGGCAGGTTGAAAAACGAAGCTCACGGTCCTTGAAAGTCATGTCTTAAAACATGGATTTCTGATCAAGCATAAAGGAGATGTAGTCTTAGCTTGTCGACCATTCCCCCCCTCCTCAACACTGCCCTTTTTTTAACAAAACAATCGAAATGACTTAGTTTTGTTTAAGATTTTTATGACCTTTTAAGTTCCTAGTTGGTATACTGAGGATTTAGCCTAGAGTTTTGATGCGTTGTTTCTGCAAAGGGTAGCCAGCTCCATCCTTTATCAAACAGAAAGTAGAGAGTTTAGCCAAAATATACTGCAGAAGAGGAGAAGACACTACCATCGAATTCCAACCATGGGGGACCCAACTTCACGCAGAAATCAAACACGAAATCGACTTCGAGCTCAACTTCGGAAGAAAAGGGAATCTTTGGCTGATCAGTTTGACTTCAAGATTTATATAGCCTTCGTTTTCAAAGAAAAGGTTTGCCAGCACTACAGATCCACTCATGTTTGTTCCTCATTGTACAACCAAAGCAATGCCTTAAAATATCCCCCCTCCAATTTTTTTCATTACAGAAGAAGAAGTCAGCACTTTTTGAGGTAGCCGAAGTTGTGCCAGTGATGACCAACAACTATGAAGAAAATATCCTACGAGGTGTGCGCGATTCCAGCTACTCTCTCGAGAGTTCAATAGAGCTCCTGCAAAAAGACGTTGTGCAACTACACGCACCCCGATACCAGTCAATGCGAAGGGTGAGACACGATACCATTTGAAAGGAGGAGTGTATGGAAAAGTAAACATTTTGTGTCATGTTAGCTGTCTGTGTTTTTACAGGATGTGATAGGCTGCACTCAGGAAATGGATTTTATCCTATGGCCACGCAACGATATTGAGAAGATCGTCTGTCTGCTGTTCTCCAGATGGAAGGGGGCCGATGATGAACCCTTTAGGCCTGTTCAGGTCAGTCCTTATCACCTTAGGTTTGGTCAGAACTATAGAAAGTTAAAAATATCATCTTTGTGTACACTCTATTTTTTTAAATCATCTTCACAGTGTAGCAATTTTAAATAGTAAAAAAAAAAGCATCTTATCAGCAAATTCAATTTTGCAGCCAGTTTCCCAGATATGTATGAAGTTCAGTCCTCAACTAACACGAAACACTGCGAGTTTGTAGCCTGAGATTAGGCTTAATCTGTGTCTGGGAAACTGAGACTTTACATAACAAAACTTTGTCCTTAGTTCTTAAGTCTGTCTTATTTACAGGCCAAGTTTGAATTTCATCATGGAGACTACGAGAAGCAGTGCATGCATGCTTTGGGTCGTAAAGACAAGGCTGGAATGGTCATGAACAACCCAACTCAGTCTGTATTTCTCTTCATGGATAGACAGCACTTACAGGTATGTCGCATCACTGAAAATAAAATGTAATTCTCCTAAAAAGAGGAGGAAAAAACCCTGAAATGGTCTTGTTAACACACTTTATCACAAATGTTGTCCACATTCTTTCAGACTCCTAAAACCAAGGCCACAGTTTTCAAGTTGTGCAGCCTCTGCCTGTACTTGCCCCAGGACCAGCTGACCTGCTGGGGTGTGGGAGACATCGAGGATCACCTCCGCCCTTATATGCCTGATTAAGGCTTCTTGCTCCACCCAGCCACACGGAGGGGGAATGAAAAAGAGAAAAAAAAAAAAGCCTTTTTCCCTTCCTCTTGCCTAAGCCTTCAGAAGCAAATTGATGTACTCATCTCCATCCTTTTTTCCCTTTAAGATGTGAACTTATGCTTGGATCTCCTTTTTTGTTTCTACTCGTTCTACCTTCCCTGACCTGAATCTGATTGAGTTCCCATCCTTCATTTTTTTTTCTGCCTCATGCTCCCAATGTGCCCCCACCCCTCTTCTCCCTACCATTTTTGGATTTATCCCTCACCTTTTTTTCCACTTCCTCCTCATTCCCTGCTTCTCACTCACCTATTTTTGTTCATTTGAACCTGCACGAACATTGATTTTGAGTGGTTGGTTGTTCTCTTGGAGCTGCACTGTCAACAGCACCGGTCATTGAAGGAACTCTTTATGTTGCATCAGAACAGGAACAAACAATACACAGGTCATCATGGTGGTTCTCACATGGACGCGTTTTATATCCTTGTTGTCATAAGAAATGATTGTTAAAGCTTGTAATGTCACGCAGGTGTCTAGAACAACTTTATGCAGTCTTGTGACCGAGGACAGGTGTGGAGAGGTGTTTAAACACCCGTGTAAGCAAAGAGATAATGAGATGAACAGTATCTGTCAAATCATATGGTGTAGGTATCGCTTCTTTTAAACAGCCTTAGTTATTTTGCTGGACTTTCAAAGATGGTTTGGTGTCATTTGCTTTCCTCTGAAACATGCTAGGCAAGCCTTCGCTAAAACCTTGAGTGACTTGAAAGGTGTTATACACACAAAGTTGGTTAACGTTGAGGGTCATGTTCACTGTTCAAGCACTATTCCATTGAGCTACTGAAATGATGTTTTTATGTTTGTTTTATTGGGGATGTGGGTTGGTGAGTAACTGAAATGGCGACATTTATTGTTTAACATACCTAACAAAAGTTGCTGAAAGCTAATTCTCTTATTTTTATTTGACCTACTAAAAGTTAGATGATTTGCCACCATGCTCCTCAAATTAAATTGGGTTTTGCAGGCTTGCTTGTCAAAGAATATTACGCACATATAATTTTGCTCCTTGTTGATTCAGTGTGTTCACTTTAAAAGGATGTAAGGCGTGTAACTTCTGGAGTTTTTTTTCTGTTGGTTCTCAAATCAATACTGCTGAGCATATCCCAATACAGTGCAAATTCTGAAAGCATCACTCTTTGTCCATTTTCTTTTATTGCATGCGCACAAATCATTGATACAGTCTTTCAATGACAAGGGGCTCTGATCATACAATAACCACTGGTGTCAATTTAAGTTATTGGCAAATATTTAACAGCAAGTAACCACCAGCTCGTAGCCCAAGCGTTGTGACACCCACCACTGAAGTACTGATTACAAACTTATTTACAGACAGAGAGAAGCTGTTTACATCGTCACTCTTGCTTTGACACTACAGACAGATACAGAGTGGAGAAGTTTCAGCTGCTGCCAAGATGTTTGGTGTGTCTTCCTTGTGCGATGATCTTCCCTGTAACCTTGTTGGTGAGGTCCACTGTGGCAAACGCCAGACTCCGTCCCTGTTTCAGAACCTGAGCGGTGATGAGAACATCTTCTCCCATCTTGGCAGCGTTCATGTACCTATGACACAGTGACAGCTTTTGTAGTTTATCGGGGAAATTATCAGCCAGATTAGGAAAGCCTGCAGGAGGTTAAGTTTAATCCTGTGAGGTGTAACTTAACCCTCAGTGCGCTAAGCTGAGTATGTTATTTCTGACTTTCAACATTTATCCTTTAGTCTTGGCAATAAGTAAATAAAGCTACTTTCAGCTGCTCCCTGCATTAACACATCGGATGAAACCCCAAAGGGATTTGTCTCCTGGGATCAAGCCAGGGACCATTTTCTTACTGGGCAATTCTGTAAACCAAAGCAAATAAAAATTCTAATCAACAAGGGGGAAAAAACTACCGGTGTATATATATTTTAAAGTACTTTTCTTTCAAATGTGGGGTCATGACTCATCACTCTTCATGACTTTGACCTCACAGAGAGGCCGAACACTACAGTTTAAGTGGTATTAAATATCCTCATTTCTGAGTGCAAAGCTCTTCCTATTCTGGCTGCTCCCTTCAGGAGTCGCCATCTTTCTCCATGTCGTCCTATCCCTAGCATCACACCAACCCTCTGCATCATCCCCTTTATGCTTGTTCCTCTTCTGCAGTTCTAGCTAGATGCTGAAATACAGTGACCACAGCTTATTAAGAAAAAACACAGTTCTGAATGTCACCTTAACCCCCTGAGTATAGTGCTATAAATGATACGCAGGTAATATTTTTTTTTCCTTTTTCATCTTGTTGTGTGCGATAAGCCCAGCTGATGGATACACCAGTAGGACTGTCTTGTATGTGTTACTATTCCTTTAATTTAGGTTCAAATTGGTTTGCTGTTTGAAGGTGCACAGCGATGAGAAATAAAAACTTAATGTGTTAAACATAAAGGAACAAGCCTGTTATATTTGTGTGAAAATGCTAAAACCATTTCAGCCTCTCCAAACCACTCAACCTGACCTGTCCCTAGCCCTGGTCACTCCACAAACTGGTGTCTATCCTGAGCACAGATAAATGGAATAAAGATAGTAAAGTAATTTTGGACTAAGTGTTCACATTTACCCATTTATGAGGAAAACAAAAATAGTATAATGTACAAAAGGTGACAGATAATAGTAAAAATATTTAGTTTTTGCATGAAAATAACCCTACACGAGCACAAGTCTGGTTGGTGGCTGGGTCCGTGTTGTAGGACCCTGTGAAGGTTCATTTTCCATATTTCAATTGAACCTTGAACCCTGCTTGCTACTTTTTACAGGCAGATCTGCCTTATGCCAGAGTTTTGAGGGGTAGAACCTGTTCCCAGAAAGGCTTACAATAGTTATGGACTCACGTTATATTCATATCCACGCTGACCCCCGGTGCCCCCCTCTCACTGTGCATGATAGCCATGGTGGAGACGATATCAACCAGTGTGGCTGTTAGCCCGCCGTGCAGCGTCCCTCCCCGGTTTGTGTGCTCTTCTTCTACCCGCATCTCACACACCACTTTACCGGGGCTGGCAGACAAAATGTCCACCTGAAGAAAACACAGAGTTGTTTTTATGTCAGCGCAACAATACAGACACGATCCGGCTTTTTTCTGCGCTAAAACCAAAAACTAATTGGCACAAACTGTCCATATTTACCTTGCTAAGTACCCTGTCGAAGCCTGGGCTATCCACCATAGCTCTCATTACATGTTTTAGGGAATTTAAAGTAAGCGAAGCCATTGTTAACGACACGGTGTGTGTGTGTGTGTGTGTGTTTAACACCTTTTCATACAGCCAATGTCAAAGTTCTGTTTATCTTAAACCGCCGGAAACTGTGGCGTGCCGCAAAAGGGTCCGGGTGAAACTTTAACTGGCCAGCCACAGTAAAGAAGGTAAACAGCGCCGCGTGCGTATAAAATTTTAATGCTAATAGTTTTTTTCCAAGCCTTCTTTTAGTTAAATATTTTTTATAATAAAAAGTATATTTTAATGGTATGGAGTCTTATGAAATGGTATATCAACCCTAAAAAGTCTTATTTAAAGCTTCAATTTATCCGAATTAGAAACTGTTTAGCAAGTTCACCCGGACGTATTTCATGGGTACACTTTAGAGAACTTGCAGAGAGAAAAGATGGGCTAATGTTTGGTTTTAATTCTTTATTTCAGATGTACTTGTGCAAAACTGGTGTCTAATAAAGATGGCTTCTACCTCGGAGTCGGACACACCGTCAGTTTCTAACTTGGAGGAAAAAAGAAGCCGCCTCTGTGACGAGTTTGCAGCCATAGCGGGAACTGAAAGCGCCGTGGCTCAGTGCTACCTGGCTGAGAATGACTGGGAGATGGAGGTACATACACCAGCTCAGTGTAACTCTGGTGTTGTAGCCGGAGTCCAAATGGGCACTTTTAAAAGCACTCAGCACAGCTGCGGGTTATTTTACTGATTAAATGAGAGGCTGTAGCTAAAAACATTACATTGATGCTGATGCTGGAATACGGATGTATATACAGCCAAGTCCTGATATATTTTTTTATTTTTTAGTCCTGTGATAAGCAGCACATTCCTGTTTCTTTTCCTTCAGAGAGCCTTGAACTCATTCTTTGAGGCAGACATGGAGAGAGTGTTTGATGTTGAGGAGCTTCCAGAGAAAGACACCACCCCCAAAGCTAAGAGGCAGAAGGTTGAAGATGCCCCTGCTGCAAACTGGTGAGTCTGCTGTCTTTTCTGTGTATGGTGACGTTTACTTATGACTGTTCATTTTAGCCAAACTGTCTGTGGAAACATTTGCAGCATAGATTTGACTGCAGACAGTCCTGCTACCACACGGAAACCTTCAGAAGAAGATGATGGTAAACTGTCCATGATCACCTGGAACGTGGACGGACTTGATACGGACAACATTGCAGAGCGTGCCAGAGGCCTGTGTTCATATTTAGTCTTGTAAGCATGTGCTACAGTTGTTGCACAGTTTTAGGCATCATTTGGAGGAAATTTTACATTTTGCTCAAAGTTCTATATATTTGATAGTTAATGTAAGTAAAGTAATTGTTTTTACTTTCATTGTTTGTTGTTGTTTTTTTGTTTGTTTTATAGATACACTCCTGACGTGGTGTTCCTGCAGGAGCTCATTCCCCCTTATGTCCAGTACTTGAAGAAACGGGCTGTCAGCTACCTGATGATTGAAGGTACAGTATGTTAGATACAGTTAGGCAAAGCACTCATGTGAACGATAAAATGGTTATTAATGGCTGAATGCAGTTGAACTGCTTTGGTTTCCCTCACTGTCGCATGAGCAGAGCCATTAGAGACATTTGTAGATATTAGTGACATCTGTGTTCTTCTTTCACTGCTTTTATAAATTCTGACTGTTGTACTAATATGGGGATTATACTTCTGCGGGAACTGTGACAGGAAGCTCATTTTAAGCCCACGAGGTAACCGTCTGCATAACCTAACGTGGATCTCCAGAGAAATGTAACTGCACATCGGGTCAACACTGAGTTGATTGGCATGGAAGGTTGCAGAGTAGGAGTAAAAGGGGTGTCTCATGGTAATTTTAGGGCTTTTATTGACTTGTACAGTTAAGACATTTTAGTCTTCAGCACCACTTATTAAAACATTCAAGTCAGAGTGTATATGTTTATTTGAGTCTGTAAGCATACTTTTGACTCTGTGTGGATTAGAGAAAATCTCAAATGAATTCAGACTTTCAATTTTTTTTCACTCATTAAAGATGTAAGCTTTACAATCATTGCACACTGGAAATAGGACAGTTCAAAGAAGTCATTAAAAGCGCCCATATTACCACGACATTGATACATACAATGACTAAATGTAAACTGACCACAACCGTTAAGTATCTGTGTACACATACAGTTTGCACATGATATTGATACTTATGTGTATCAGCATACCTTGACTAAAGATTTGATGTGAAGGGGAACCAAAGCTTAAGAGTCTCCATCTTCCTCTTGACTTGTGTTGACCAGGTGGTGAGGAAGGTTACTTCACAGGGATGTTGCTGAAAAAGTCACGAGTCAAATTTGTGGAGAGTGAGATAGTAGCTTATCCCACCACTCAGATGATGAGGAACCTGCTTGTTGCTCAGGTGTGTGCAAAATCATCTCTGATATTTTCTTCATGTGCATAAGTTCTGCGGAACGGGATACTTAGGACCATTTTCCTTTCCAAAAATCAGGTGATCGTCAACAGCCAGAAGCTGTGCCTGATGACATCCCACTTTGAGAGCTGTAAGGGACATGCTGCAGAGCGGATGAAACAGCTGCATGTGGTGATGCAGAGGATGTCAGAGGCACCTGATGATGTCACCGTTGTGTTTGGGGGAGACACAAACCTGAGGGATGCGGAGGTCAGACGCTGCTCCTTCCACTCACATACAGCTAGTAAACTTGTAACAAGAAATCACAGTAACTCTTTTCTCTGGACCCGTCTCAGGTGACCAAGGTGGGCCTGCCTGCAACTGTCTGTGATGTGTGGGAGCGACTGGGCAAACAGGAGCACTGCCGCTACACGTGGGATACTAAAGCCAACAACAACAAAACTGTTCCGTATGTCAGTCGCTGCCGCTTTGACAGAATCTACTTCCGCTCGGCTACCAAGGATGGAGTCCCTCGTCTGGCCCCTGATCACATGGCCTTGGTGGGGCTGGAGAAGCTGGACTGTGGCCGCTACACTAGTGATCACTGGGGAATCTACTGCACCTTCACAGCTGAATAGAACTACACAAAACAACCAAAAACATGACAGTTAAGCATTTTATTTTAGATCAGCTGCTCTTTAAATGACAGTAATGCTATGCAGGAAGATGTTCTTATTGCCTGTAAATGATTCACCTTATTTTAATCAGTTTTATACTCTAATGGGTGTCTGCTTAAGTGTTTTATGTGGTTAAAATGACAAATTAAAAAAATGAAAACTACCAATAAATTACAATGTCTTTGTTTTATTATACACTTGCACTGATTGGGGGGGAGAGTCCATTAACAGAAGTCTGACAGCTCTTCAGCTTTTAACCTTGTTACATGATCTTCCTCAGTGGATGGAGTTGGGACTGAAAAACACCACACACAGCATGAGAAACCCTACTG